GTTTGGTGAAGACCCTTTTCTGTTCCACCATGACTGTCCCCTGTGTACAAAGCCAGCTCCATAAAGACTTGGTGTGGAGGAACTTGAGTGTCCTGCACAGAGTCCTGACCTCAACCCTGTGGAACACCTTTGGGGTGAATTGGAACATCGAAGTTCAGGTGTTCCCAGTGAAGGTTCTGTTAATACTCCATCATACGAAGACATTGTAGACAATGGTGCTCTTCCAACCTTGCGGTAACAGTTTGGTGTAGACCCTTTTCTGTTCCACCATGACTGTCCCCTGTGTACAAAGCCAGCTCCAGAAAGACATGGTGTGACCAGCTTGGTGAAGGTCCTTTTCTGTTCCACCATGACTGCCCCTGTCTACAAAGCCAGCTCCGTAAAGACATGGTGTGACCAGTTGGGTGAAGACCCTTTTCTGTTCCACCATGACTGTCCCCTGTGTACAAAGCCAGCTCCGTAAAGACATGGTGTGACCAGTTTGGTGAAGGTCCTTTTCTGCTCCACCATGACTTTCCCCTGTGTACAAAGCCAGCTCCATAAAGACATGGTGTGATCAGTTTGGTGAAGGTCCTTTTCTGCTCCACCATGACTGTCCCCTGTGTACAAAGCCAGCTCCGTAAAGACATGGTGTGACCAGTTTGGTGAAGGTCCTTTTCTGCTCCACCATGACTTTCCCCTGTGTACAAAGCCAGCTCCATAAAGACATGGTGTGATCAGTTTGGTGAAGGTCCTTTTCTGCTCCACCATGACTGTCCCCTGTGTACAAAGCCAGCTCCGTAAAGACATGGTGTGACCAGTTTGGTGAAGGTCCTTTTCTGCTCCACCATGACTTTCCCCTGTGTACAAAGCCAGCTCCATAAAGACATGGTGTGATCAGTTTGGTGTTGAGGACCTTACTTTGCCCTACCATCATTGAGCAATACAGCTTGGTCACCTCCCAACCCACAGCATTTGATTGTACAATTAAGGAGCAGCGGAAGACTGATACGTTCCTTCCTCTGTTTACTCTCGCATTCTTTTCCATCACATATGCATTGCAGCACATTGGATTGCCCCTTAGTGCTGCCACTGCCTTCCCCGGTCTCTCTCCTTTGCTTTCCAAGGGCTGATCTCAAGTCCAATTCGGTTGCATTTAAAGGTAAAGTCCACCTTCTGACACGCACACATATTCAGAAGAGAGACAAATGTGCATTCATTATTGTTTTGCACCGGAGACAGTGAAGCATTGCAACTAGTATCAGTGGCTCACGGGCCCAATGCTCGGGCTCTTGCAGAGTCTTCTCCGTCTTCTTCCATTCTGGATGATGCAGAACCACGCCAGATTAAAAACACAACAGCAACCTGTGGGGAGTAGAAACCCCGTGTTTCGGGAGGATGGAATGGCCCTGAGGGGGAAAGAGGGGAGCGGGACATGTGACCATGTTTGAATTTTAATTCATCTTATAGCCTTCTATGTGTCTTACTTTGCAAACCCTTTGATTGTCGGCAGCTCTCCGATCATTGATGATATCTGTCTGCTTCCTTCGTGATCTATTTTTGATTATCTTGATACCGCGTGATGAGAACTTTTGTGTGTTTCGAGTATATTTTATGCATCTTTCCAAAGTCAAATTGTGAGCCGGTAACAAGTGGCGGTGAGGAGATGAAAGGATTGGAGACAGAAGTATGTTTCATTTATTGACAAGTAGCTGTGAGAGAGAAATACCCGACAGGGAAAAATGAAACCAAACTTAGATCTTTCCTTCCGTGAAAGTGTATCTAATTCCCGAGAACAAAAATCTACAATATTGCAGCTTTATTCTCACCCGATGATCCTGCCAGTAACGCACTTCCTGTCCTAGGGTGACAACGCTTTGGGGTCTATTTGTAATCCCTGTGAGAATGGGGCAGAATCGAATGTACTTAGTGTCATCTCTCCTCTGGTCAAATGTTCTTCAATACCCAATGATACTACGGGGGTTGCAATGGTGACATTTATATGCCCATTCCTTCCATTGGTCTTTTTAATTGTATCATTGTAACTCATTAATAACATGTATTTATTTCCTATGATCCTCAGCTCCATCTAGTGGCCACAATGAGGTATTGTCCCCATTCACTATGTTCTGTATGAATGAACCCATTGAAGAACATTCAACCAGAGGAGAAATTACCCTAAGAACATTCGTTTTCATGCCATTCACACAACAGCTGGTTCAACACGTATACCTCCTCCTACAGGTTATCTGTAAAGGATCTGTATCAAACAGCACGTTATAATGGCACTCCCCCTCAAAGGAGCATGCCGTGCCTTCCAGATCCTTTACCGATACCACATGTGGGAAGGCGAAAACATTTTTAAAGTGTATGTAGAGGACAGGAAATGAAGGAAATCTCCCCAAGGGGACACAAATGGTTAAAAAAAAAAGCCAGCCCTCCCTTACTCTATCCAAAACTAAAAAACGTTTTGGCTTCAGTTGTGCTTTAAGCTGACCATACATACTATGGAATTCTCTCATTCAGCCCTGCAGGCTAAACAAGAGAAATTCCCCCATCCACGCTGTGAAGGAATCCCCTTTGTATTCAGTAGCCGCTGCTCCAGAATCTGCTAAATACCTGAACAGTGCCTGCATCTGATTGGATGCAGGTGCTGTTTGGCTGTGTCAGAAAGTGGGGGCTGGGGCGGGATCTGACAGGTGCCAAAAATAGCTCCAATAGCGTCCAATTCAAACTGTCAAATTTGGGTATTTTCTATTAAAGCGGGAAACAGCCAAAATTTGAGCAGTGCATGGCCAGCTTGAACCTACCCTGTCCACAGGGTAACAAGGCTCCTACTTAATTCCTCTGCTGTTGTCACCCTCTTAACCTCCCTGGCGGTATGATTTTTTCTTTTTTTTTCTTCCTTTTTCATTCTATTTGTTTTCGGGTTTTGTTCTGGGGTTTTTTTTGCTCACTTTTGAATCTCCCGCCGGTTCCGCCCCCTGCGACGCGGACGCTCACAAGGGACGGAACCCAGAAGACGGATGCCGGCATCGACCTGAGGACACAGCGTGGTTTGAGGGACTAGGTAACAGACGCGCTATTTATTCCCGAGTGTGGCTCGGGGTTACCGCTTATGGTACAGAAAATGAACCCCGAGCCACACTCGAGAATACCGCCAAGGAGGTTAAGGGACGTACATTTACTGGCAGGATCAACAGGTAATAACATGATGTTACAATGGAAGACCAGAAAAAACAAAACTGGTCTGTTACTACTATAGGCAGACCGCATCGTATATATATATGCCATTTTTTATTTTGCCCATATTTCCCCTTTAATGCTACCGAAAAATGAAAAATGGAGGTGGACTGACCCTCTAATGTGCTGTAGGCGACAGGTCCTGTTTTCAGATCTGTAAATGCATTGTTTATGTAAACAATTACTTGGTTTCCTTTATTCACACGACTTCGGAGGCCGTAAAATGAAAAGAACGTTTACGCTTCTGCTGTGCCAGCGCTTTGTCTGCCGGAGACACCTGCTGGCCCCCGGCCTCAGCAGCAGCAGCAGCAGCTGTGCTTTATAGATTGAATATATTATTGGACGGCTCATGCTCTGTGCAGAGAATTTATTTGCAATTACGGTATTTTTAGCACTCGGTTAACATTTTCAAGTATTAAGGGATACGCCGAGATTACATATGGTAATATTAAGAAAATGTTTATGGTTTTGAATAGGTCGTTGAAGTCAGGGTGATTTTTTTTCTGTCTAGCCGGCCTATTCTTTTTTGGCATTGGCTACTGTACATTGTTTCCGGGTAATATTGTGTAACATCAATCATATCAAGAGATAAGAGCACTTCCTGTTTCCTGTCTGGGTCCACAGGAGGATCCTGAGCTACTGATGGCATAACTATAGCCATAGCAGCCCATGTGGATGCTATGGGGCCTTGGGGGTGATGGGAGTTGGGAGAGGTTGGAGATGTTTCAGATGATGTCCTTGTGAAGTCTCCATAAAGGAAGAGCTGATGCCAGACACACCAGAGGAGTCATAGTTGACATCTAAGACTCATCTCTTCAGGAAAGCCTATCCCACCTCAACCTAACCACTGAACCATAAGCTTGCCATACACTGACAATTTATTCTCCTTGTTCAGCCCAACGGGATGGGGGAACCCCCCCTACCCTAATTGGGCTATAGTATTCTGCCTGCATTGGGGAATTCCCTGCCCGCATCTTGACTGAGCCAAGGGTCGGGGTGCAGTGATATATGTGGCCATTTAAGGTAGATACAAACACAAGCATCCTGTCCGTTTATGGTCAGGTGCCAGGCAGGGAATGCCCCAACCTGCAGCTGAGCTGGGTGGCTAGTCATGAGGTGCCTTCCAGCTTCCTAATTTGTCAGGAAGCCAGGCTGCCTACCAACAAGTGAAGCTGGCTTCCTAGCCAATCAGGAAGCCGGATGGGGCGTCATGACCCGCCTCCCAGCTTCTTGATTGGCTAGGAAGCCGGCTTCACTTGTTCCTAGGCAGCCTGGCTTCCTGACCATTCAGGAAGACGGGAGGCGGGTCATTATGTGCCATCCGGCTTCCTGATTGGTTAGGAAGCCAGGCTGCCTAGTAACAGGGATTGGAAAGGAAGCCTTGTCCATGCTCCCTCGGCACTGCCGTTCAGAGCGAGATCTCCCTCTGACCAGAAGTTCCGGTTTTGGAGGTAAGTATCGGAGCATTTGGGCGAGTACTCGGCCTAATACTTGGTATCGGTAGCGATATTAGTATCGGTATTGGTGCATCCCTAATTTTTTACTATTTTCACTTATTTTTTCATTCTTACAGTCATGTGATCTTTTTAATTTCCTATTTTGAATGTTGAAAGCCAAGGGTTTTTTTTTCAATGTTGGCCAGTATTGAAGTACAAAGATTTCACCTCACAGCTGTGTGAGCTAACATTTGCCTTTTTATACAGGCCAGCGCTCTGCTCCGCTGGGCATATGGCATACTAAATCTTGCAAGTGTTTTCCTCACTTTCTTTGGTCTACAGCCAATTTCCACCTTCATAAATTTGGTGTCTTTGCCCTCAGCGAGCTAAGAAAAGCAGAAGGCATTTGTGATCACAGCCAAGAAGTGCACAGGCACCAGGATGAAGGCTCTTGCAGGGAACTTACGGTGATCTCTGGTGAGAGTTGATCAATACCTGGTAGAGATGAGCAAACATTTTAAAAATTCATGTACCTCGGAATTTAGGAAATTCCAAACCAGAAGTAACATTGAAGTTGATGGAAACTCTAAACCACGATCCAAAAAAGTGTGTATTGTAGAGCAGCAAATTATGGAGAATTGTGCAGAATGGTTTGGGAAGCTCCAGGGTGACCAGCATGACGGGATTATGGGGCCAAAGAACAGCCTGAACTTCCTTTAAAAATTCTACCAGGGATGCTAAAATAGAAAAGTAGGACTTGGTGAGACTGGCAGATTCAGATTAATTAATTCAGATTAAGCTAAGAACATTCAAATACATAAAATTCAGTCCAAATCTAACATCAGGCTAAGGAAGGATGGGGTCTCGTGGCACTGGCAGTCAAGCTAAGAAAGGGTGGTACCTGCCGGGACTGGCAGTTAATCTAACGGTACTCAGCAACAGCACAAGCAGATGTAAGGCAGAAACAACCTTTGGAGCAACCTTGTCTCCCAAAACACTTTTTTGGGGAATTTGAATTGCCAGAAAATAACACTGAAATTCAGATTAGGCTCAGAACATCAAAATTCATAATATTCAGTCCAAACATCAAGCTAAGGAAGGGACGGACCGGGTGGCATTGGCAGTCAAGCTAAGGAAGGGTGGGACCTGGTAGCCCTGGCAGTCAAGCTAAGGAAGGGTGGGACCTGGTATCCCTGGCAGTCAAGCTAAGGAAGGGTGGGACCTGGTAGCACTGGCAGTCAAGCTAAGGAAGGGTGGGACCTGGTAGCACTGGCAGTCTTGGAGTTTGGAAATTACTGGAATTTACAAATAAAGAAGTGCTGGGTGAAGAGTGACAGCTGTTTCTTTGGATTGACAGAAAATAAGATTAAGCTCAGAACATTCAAATTCATAAAATTGAGTCCAAATCTAACATCAAACTAAGGAAGAGTGGGACTAGCAGTCAAGCTAAGGAACGGTGGGCCTGATGGGACTGGCAGCCAAGCAATGGAAGGGTGAGATCTGGTGGCAATGGCAGTCAAGCTAAGAGAGGGTGGGGCCTGGTGGCACTGGCAGTCAAGCTGAGAAGGGGGGATTTGGTGGCACTGGCAGTCAGGCTAAGGAAGGGTGGGACCTGGTAGCACTGGCAGTCAAGCTAAGGAAGGGTGAGATATGGTGGCAATGGCAGTCAAGCTAAGAGAGGGTGGGACCTGGTGGCACTGGCAGTCAAGCTGAGAAGGGGGGATTTGGTGGCACTGGCAGTCAGGCTAAGGAAGGGTGGGACCTGGTAGCCCTGGCAGTCAAGCTAAGGAAGGGTGGGAATGTCAGTCAAGCTAAGGAAGGGTGGGAATGGCGGTCAAGCTAAGGAAGGTGGGACCTGGTGGTACAAGCTAAGGAAGGGTGGGAGTGGCAGTCAAGCTAAGGAAGGGTGGGAGTGGCAGTCAAGCTAAGGAAGGGTGGGAGTGGCAGTCAAGCTAAGGAAGGGTGGGAGTGGCAGTCAAGCTAAGGAAGGGTGGGAGTGGCAGTCAAGCTAAGGAAGGGTGGGAGTGGCAGTCAAGCTAAGGAAGGGTGGGAGTGGCAGTCAAGCTAAGGAAGGGTGGGAGTGGCAGTCAAGCTAAGGAAGGGTGGGAGTGGCAGTCAAGCTAAGGAAGGGAGGAACCTGGTGGGACTGGCAGTCAAGCTAAGGGGTTTTTAGACAACAGCTGAAGCAGATACAAGTCAGAAACATCCTTTGGAGGAACCTTTGGTTCCTTCCTCCTAAAAGCCTTTTTGTGCACTGAAAATCTGATTCGGCTCGGAAATTCCAAATTCATAAAATTCCACGAAAATGCAACAACGCTAGATCAGAAATTTGGGATCTAATACCTGGAAGTGTTCTGCTCCCACCATTGACATTAATGCACTTAGCATGAAACAAATTTCTGATGACGGGTCCACTTAAAGCCACGTACTAAGCCATAAGGTGTTACAATGAATTATGAAGTAATACAAGCTCTCTCTGTGCCACGTATAGACGTGTTATACAACGATGGACGCTCTTCTGTGAATTGCTGGAGGAAACATTCTGCATTAAGAAAGATCGACTGCGCTAAGCAGTAGCATCCCTCCGCTAATTACCCGGGGCAATACATGCAATGCAAATAATGGAAACAGGAAGCCAATTATGTTACAAAATGTCAGTATATGTATATATACAGTATATACTGTGTGTGTGTGTGTGTGTGTGTGTGTGTATTCAGTTATATGGCACTTCCTAATGCATCCAGTTTTAGCCTTTAGGATTAAAATATACCTTTTATGACAATCTAGGAGAAGTGCGCGCGCTCACTGACCCGAGAAACTACAGGATGGAGAAAACCTACATTTCTTATGACAAATCGCAGCGCAGTATTGCAATTATAGAAATCTTCTAGATCAATGTATTATATGCAGCAATCCAGCAAAACACGAAGAGCGAGGACGGACTGCTAGGACGGTATGAAAATGCTGCAGTTCAGTGCGTGTCTAAAAGGCGGGTTTTAATACTGGTGCTGGGTACAGCCACCCATACAAATTAATGGATGTTAATGCGGGTATATGCCGGGTATATGCCGGACTTGCATCAACATACGCATATGTACAGAAGCACAACCCTCAGACACAGACAGTTTACGGTTAGGGTTGTGCCTGCATACACATGTGCGTGTTTACGCAAGTCTGGTGTATACCTTTGTCTTTGATAGCCATTGATTTTTATGGGGGCTGTACACAGCATCTGTGGCTTCCAGCCCAAAATGACATTGTGTGGCCCTAGATGGCTGTGGGTGTGAGCCCTTAGCATTGATTCAGTGCCAAACCACAAGGTTGGAAGAGACCAGTTGTCTACAATGTCTTTGTATGTTGTAGTATTAACAGGATGGTGGGTGGTTACCAATGGATGGTGGTTACCTTCATTGGAAGCACCTGAACTCAACCATTTGGAGGGGTTCCAATTCATCCCAATGGTGTTCATTAGGGTTGAGGTCAGGACTCTGTGCGGGACACCTGAGTTCCTCCACATCAAACTGGTCAGACTAACTTAAGCTGGCTTTGTACACAAGTGGCAGTCATGGTGGAAAAGGAAAGGGTCTTCACCAAACTGTAACCACAAGCCTGGAAGGTCTGATTCTTGCACAACCTGGTAAGGGATTGAAGTCAAGCTAAGGAAGGGTGGGAGTGGCAGTCAAGCTAAGGAAGGGTGGGAGTGGCAGTCAAGCTATGGAAGTGAGGAACCTGGTGGGACTGGCAGTCAAGCTAAGGGGTTTTTAGACAACAGCTGAAGCAGATACAAGTCAGAAACATCCTTTGGAGGAACCTTTGGTTCCTTCCTCCTAAAAGCCTTTTTGTGCACTGAAAATCTGATTCGGCTCGGAAATTCCAAATTCATAAAATTCCACGAAAATGCAACAACGCTAGATCAGAAATTTGGGATCTAATACCTGGAAGTGTTCTGCTCCCACCATTGACATTAATGCACTTAGCATGAAACAAATTTCTGATGACGGGTCCACTTAAAGCCACGTACTAAGCCATAAGGTGTTACAATGAATTATGAAGTAATACAAGCTCTCTCTGTGCCACGTATAGACGTGTTATACAACGATGGACGCTCTTCTGTGAATTGCTGGAGGAAACATTCTGCATTAAGAAAGATCGACTGCGCTAAGCAGTAGCATCCCTCCGCTAATTACCCGGGGCAATACATGCAATGCAAATAATGGAAACAGGAAGCCAATTATGTTACAAAATGTCAGTATATGTATATATACAGTATATACTGTGTGTGTGTGTGTGTGTGTGTGTGTGTATTCAGTTATATGGCACTTCCTAATGCATCCAGTTTTAGCCTTTAGGATTAAAATATACCTTTTATGACAATCTAGGAGAAGTGCGCGCGCTCACTGACCCGAGAAACTACAGGATGGAGAAAACCTACATTTCTTATGACAAATCGCAGCGCAGTATTGCAATTATAGAAATCTTCTAGATCAATGTATTATATGCAGCAATCCAGCAAAACACGAAGAGCGAGGACGGACTGCTAGGACGGTATGAAAATGCTGCAGTTCAGTGCGTGTCTAAAAGGCGGGTTTTAATACTGGTGCTGGGTACAGCCACCCATACAAATTAATGGATGTTAATGCGGGTATATGCCGGGTATATGCCGGACTTGCATCAACATACGCATATGTACAGAAGCACAACCCTCAGACACAGACAGTTTACGGTTAGGGTTGTGCCTGCATACACATGTGCGTGTTTACGCAAGTCTGGTGTATACCTTTGTCTTTGATAGCCATTGATTTTTATGGGGGCTGTACACAGCATCTGTGGCTTCCAGCCCAAAATGACATTGTGTGGCCCTAGATGGCTGTGGGTGTGAGCCCTTAGCATTGATTCAGTGCCAAACCACAAGGTTGGAAGAGACCAGTTGTCTACAATGTCTTTGTATGTTGTAGTATTAACAGGATGGTGGGTGGTTACCAATGGATGGTGGTTACCTTCATTGGAAGCACCTGAACTCAACCATTTGGAGGGGTTCCAATTCATCCCAATGGTGTTCATTAGGGTTGAGGTCAGGACTCTGTGCGGGACACCTGAGTTCCTCCACATCAAACTGGTCAGACTAACTTAAGCTGGCTTTGTACACAAGTGGCAGTCATGGTGGAAAAGGAAAGGGTCTTCACCAAACTGTAACCACAAGCCTGGAAGGTCTGATTCTTGCACAACCTGGTAAGGGATTGATATAACTTTCAATATTTTGCAGAGCTCACTATTGGATGTGAAGCTATTTTGAACAGGAAATAAAGACATGTAGGGCTTTCCATGATTTACCATTGAGATGTAGCCTGACTGTACAGGATGAAACCATCCAAAAATTGCATTTCATATCCAGGTCAATCCCATCCAGAAGAGCAACTGTCGCATTTCAACACAGTGTGTCATCGAATTGTGACCAAAAAAAACAAACCTATTATCTTAGCATTGTTGCCAATTGGAACTAACCATCATACTCCCTGTACTCACTCATAACCATAATGAGTGACCAAGAAGTATGTTTACTAAATACTGGTGAAACCAGATACTTAAGTTTAATGCCAGAACAAGAATTTGCATCATAGTTGCAGATATTCACTGGGAAGAATCTTTCCAACAGATTTGGCAACCACCATCCTTTGGTAACCACCATCCTTTGGTAACCACCACCCTTTGGTAACCACGACCCTTTGGTAACCACCACCCTCTGGTAGCCACCACCCTTTGGTAACCACCATCCATTGGTAACCACCATCCATTGGTAACCATGACCCTTTGGTAACCACCACCCTTTGGTAACCACCACCCTTTGGTAACCACCACCCTTTGGTAACCACTGTCCTTTGGTAACCACTGTCCTTTGGTAGCCACCACCCTTTGGTAACCACCGTCCTTTGGTAACCACCACCCTTTGGTAACCACCACCCTTTGGTAACCACTGTCCTTTGGTAACCACTGTCATTTGGTAACCACTGTCCTTTGGTAGCCACCACCCTTTGGTAACCACCGTCCTTTGGTAACCACTGTCCTTTGGTAGCCACCACCCTTTGGTAACCACCACCCTTTGGTAACCACCATTCTTTTGTAACCACCACCCTTTGGTAACCACCATCCTTTGGTAACCACCGTCCTTTGATAACCACTGTCCTTTGATAACCACCGTCCTTTGGTAACCACCACCCTTTGTTAACCACCATCTTTTTGTAACCACCATCTTTTTGTAACCACCATCCTTTGGTAACCACCATCCTTTGGTAACCACCATGGCCTCTTCTTTTTACTCTATATGCAGTTGAGTCACTGGCCACTAGATGGAGCAGAGGGGCAAAGGAAATAATAATGCTCTTCGGCTCCATCTAGTGGCCATAATAAGTATCTATTTACAATGCTCCCCAGCTCAGATCCAGCTAGTGGCCACAAGGCCGTATTACATTACATACATTCCACCTGAAAAGAAAATATAAGAATGTTCATGTTTGCCTCTATCCGCTCAGAACTTAGTCACAGATATTTGCAGGGTGAATGGCTCTGTGGATTATTGATAAATAGACTCCTATGTATTTGTATAATGATGATCCTGTCCTAGGGTGACAAATACTCACGGTACTGTATCTATGAAGGAGCAGCGATGTTACCCTGGGAAAGGAAGTGCTTTAGGCTTACAGAACACCCCCACCTCCTCATCTTCATAACAAATAGAGGAGAGGTTCTGTAGTCCACAGAGAAAACTCAGAACCCTGGCTCAGACACAGGAACTTCACTGGATTTCCAGCAGGATCAACAGTTATGTTTTGTTTTTTTTGCACTTATCAGACACCTATATAACAAAACGCTTTGAGTGGTACATTTAACTGAGCAAATAAGAGAAGTTGATTGCTGGGGTTTATATACATTGTAATCCAGTGATTGGAGCGCCTGTATCGGCACGGATTAAATGTGCCGTGGTGACACGGGCCGCCTCAATCCCCCATAAACGCTCTTTTATTAGCGTTTCGCAGCCTGCAGCTATTGAAAGAGCTCTGATTATCTCCACAGGACTCGCCATCCCGCGGGAAATTTATGATCACAATTGCTGTCATTTGCCTATTTGCTATTTTTCGCTCTTCGCATTATTCCGACTGTATAGAATTCTCTCTCTCTCTCTGCAGAGACGCGTCCAGTTCCAGCGCCGGGGAAGATGGAGACCTAGAACAGGATGATCTAAGGTAAAATGACCAGGTAATGATGATGGGTTTAGGTAGAACTCCCGAGACGCGGCATTCATTATCACAGAAATCAGATGCGGGGACACTACTCAGACCGCAGCCACACTTCTGGATTTAAAGGGCCCTGACACTGATAGAATCTAAAAAAATTAACAGCAGCACCTGCTGTGCTGTAGTGGCAACTCTATGTCATTAGAGCCCCGCCTCCCAAAAACAGTTTAGCTGTCTCTGCTCCCTCTTGCTGAAAGAAGGGATGATGGGGAGCAGAGCTGCTGAGTTGCTGCTGGGAGGGGTAAACTGAGCTGCTGAGTCACTACTAGGAGGGGAAGTTGAGGTACTGTGTCACTGATGGAGAGCTAAGGTGCTAATCCCTCCCCTGCAGTGACCTAAGCAGCTCCTTCCAGCAGTTACTGGGCTGCCCTTTGCTGCACCTCCTAGCAGTAAAACAGGAGCTCACCCTTCTTCTCCATACCAGGGCACATGCTCTATGTTTATATTAGAGATTGGAAGGCTGAGTCACTGCTGAGAGGGGGGGAACAGGGGAAGCTGAGCTGCTGAGTCACTGCTGGGAGGGAGGAGTAGGGTGAGCTGAGTTGCCGCTGAGAAGGGAGAGCAGGGAGAGCTGAGTTGCCGCTGAGAAGGGAGAGCAGGGA